CAATGGAGTTGGTTCTCAGGTACAACTACACGCTGAATCCCAATGGAACTTTCAATGCAATCAAGTACATGTACACTTATTGGCCAGACCCTAACAATCGGACGATGATTAGGGAGAAGTACATTCAACTCTTATCGGACTTTCTTTATACAGCTCCTAATGATAAAATAGTAAAGTTGTTGGTGGAACAAAACGTGCCAGTATACATGTACGTGCTGAACACTACAGTCGAATCTTTTAAACTCCCCGAATGGAGGAAAGTTCCCCATAACATCGAACACTACCTTTTGTGTGGTGCTCCATTCTTGGATGTTGAAATGTTGCCAGCCAAAGAGCGATTTGTTAGGGACCAGTGGACGAACAATGACAGGAATATGAGTCACTTCTTTATGAAAGCATACACAGATTTTGCCAGATATGGAAATCCCAGCCATACGCAAATTCTGGGCATTCATTTTGAGGAAAGCGTGAATGGCCAGTTAAAATACCTAAATTTGAATACTACATATAACTCGACTATTATGTGGAACTTTCGTCAAACAGAATCAGCATTTTGGACGATGTACATACCACAAGTTGTGGGCCATTTCGTCCCTACCTACCCTCCAACAACTGAGGTAGACTACAAATACTTGCCATATATGGATTGCCGATATTTACTATGATGTTTCAGTTTTGGTGGGAGCCCAGGGCTCCGCTTCAGGTAGCGTTTTGGACGATGTCAGGGTTTTGCCTGCTGCTGATAGTCCTGCTGGTGCTTTGCTGCATGTTGTGGAGAAACGCTAAGAGGTAAGAAAGGTAAAGGAATCCATTTACACATTTTCTTGGGTTGTAGATGGTTTCTAACAGTAGTAATAGTAGCTTACACAGTGTAGTTATAACTTACATTGTTTTCTTATTCTGAACTAACAAGCTTTGGCTCATTTGTATAACAAATGAGCAACTTTCTACCGTTTCTCCCGGGAGCCGGGATGTCGTAGTTAGCTTCTTAATTACCGCAATAAAACACAAGAAAACTCATTTAATTGGTGGGATTGCAGATCGAAAGACAGATACTACAATACGTACTTGTACCCTTCCGATACAGAGAACGATGAAGGAATTGAAAACGCCAGAGGACCCGAGGACTACTCTGAAAAGATAAAGTCCCATGTGACCCGATCGAATAGTGCTTCGTCTTTACAAACTGTATCTCTAAAAGAACTTCAAGGATTTGTAACTCCCAGCCCTACTGAAGAAATGCCGCCTGTGCTACAGCAGAGGAGCAAAGTCAGATCAAACTCAGCTATGCTTCAAGGAGTCCCTCAAACGGATGTTTGATGCCAATATCCAATTGGTCAACATTTGAGAATCCTAGTCAATATCATTCATACTTCTCCCCACATTCAGAATTTTATAAAATGCAATATTTATTTGATCTTCTTAAATATTGGCGTTAAATGAGCCATAGTTTATTCAGCGTCAATGGGATTCATGTGAAAGCCGTTATGCATTAACGTCGGCTGAGATGTACACATTTTTATAGTATTATTAGAAACTTCTACTATTAGATCACAATTCTTCCTTGATACGAGCAAAATAGAAATGCTATTGAACCATTTGTTTATGTACTGATGAGGTGCCAACTAATTTTATATTTTGTACAATTTTAAAATTATGCATCGAGATGCATGGAAAACGGACAAAGCTATTTGTCCAATCAGTTTTTAACAAAGACCGAAATGATTTTTTACTGACAACGTAAATAATACAAACAGCCAATAATGATTTTAAAGGTTCATTCGTTTTTCGTGCAGCTCTCTGTACGTAGGTATATATATTTATTTAGATTGCATATCAGTGCAATTTTATGATCGGTTCTTCATGTAGACTCTGTAGAGGACCATTCAGTGTGAAATATTACAAATTTGTCCGTCCAATTGTTAATTGTAAGCTTTTAATTTATTATAAGTAAGTATGTGTTAGAAAGTTTCTCTTAAAATAACGAAAATATAATCACAGACAGCCTTATTGTACAAAATAGTGAATAAAGTGGTGATTCTATTATAATCCGAATTTTTTCTATACTATAAGCGAAAACCTAAAACTATACAATAAAGCGAAAATAAATTCTTCAATTACTCTCAATTGATTCCAAAAATACCTTTCTGTCCAATATGGCGAGCTTACTTTGGAATACGTTTCAGAAACTTGATTCTCTCATTCGTCATTTTTTATGTTGCATATTTTGCGCTGATTTGGAAAATGTCCTAATGTTTTGCTTAATATTTATCTAACCATTGTCCAGTATTGAACATCTATTATAATTTGTTATGAAGAATAATAGACTGAAGGAAAACGCGATATCAGATGGTGATGGTAATGGGAAGCAGCATGTACCAAAAGCGTTGGTGAAGACTGATGTGCCATCGATAATTTATTATAGTAGTACTCGTGAAAAGCTTCGATACGGAAATAAAGATTGATTGCATAACTCACACACAATAACTGGTACTAAATATTTTGCCTCGAATAGTTCATAAATCAGATTGCGTATACAGGGTGATTTACATTGACCGTGCATTAGAAGTTTTCCAACTCCAGTTGTTGTGGAAACTTCAAATTTTGTTTCTGGTAATAACGAGTCGCGCCGAAACCATGTAAAATACATTTAGGTTTACAGGGTGTATGAAAAATATCACCGAACTTCCTTTTTTTAAATATAAATCCCTAATTTTTTTGAGCATGACTGGATTGACCGGCCAATTGCGAGTTTGGCCCATCCTAATTTTGTTAACTCTTATAGTTTTTGATATATATAAATTTATACAAAAAAATGCCGTAACAGGAGTTTATGAAACAAGCTATATTAAAGGAATGGTTCTAAATGCAAGACCCAAATTTGGTAGGTAGGTAGCTGAAAGCCCAAGCTAATTTTCCAGACGATCCTTAGGGTACCCGTTTTGTAGCATGTAGCTTACAAACATTGGCATTAAAAAATGTAAAAAATATTTTTTTTATATGGTCTTGAATTTAGAACCGTTCCTTAGATATAGATTATTCCGTAAACACCTGTAATGGCACTTTTCTATAACAATTTATTAACAACCACAAGTTGGAAAACTTCTAATGCACGGTCTACGTAAATCACCCTGTATACTTTTCCAAAATGGAACGGAGCAGTTTAATAGAAACAATGGGCCTGTAAAATTTATTTATTTATTTAAATAAATAATACGTATTTAAGATATTTTGATTTATTTTCCTAACTGCGTGTAATTGTTATTATATTCCTGGAGCCCAGGAAGGAAAAGAATTTAAGATATTATTTTATAATATTTAATATTTGGAGATAACTCGTTACGATTTGCTGTGTATATACAAAAAAGAAGAAATTTAGGTCTCAATTTACCGTCTATCAATGTATAATGTGTTAAATAATAATTTAAAAAATCAAAACTGGTCGAGTGTAAAAGGCAGGATTTCTCAAACTTTTTTGATAACGGAACACTTTGCAAACCCAGGAGTTTTAACCGAACACTTGGTTTATTTTCAAGTTGATTTCTCTGGAACTTTATTTTAACACCTAAAAAAAAGGTTACCATATTTTTTATGAGTAAATATTCCGCGAAAGTTTAGAAAAACTGGCAAAACGTTACTCATAAAAAATATGGTAACCTTTTTTTTAGGTGTTAAAATAAAGTTCCATAGAAATCAACTTGAAAATAAACCAAGTGTTCTGTTAAAACTCCTGGGTTTGCAAAGTGTTCCGTTATCAAAAAAGTTTGAGAAATCCTGCCTTTTACACTCGACCAGTTTTGATTTTTTAAATTATTTTTTAAGGGTACCTCAACCAGTTCAGGTACCCAAAGAAAAATTCCCCAAAATTAACGAAATCCAGCAAATACAGAAACTAATTAGCGCCTTTAGTAGGAGTATTGCAATTTTAAAGCGCACCTCTTAACACTGATCAGAGTGATCAGTGCTCACTCACTCCTTAACCTATGCGGTACCAGTGGTACCACTCAGCCAGTACGAGTCGCGCGCGAGATTTACGAAATCCACGCGTTTTTCTTTGGTGTCAGTTTTCAATTTATTTTGTGTTGCTTCTATCAAGTGCTAAGGTTTTCTAAACATGATTACTTTATATAGAACGATTAAGGGAACAACCAAAGGAAGGAAAAAACGAACTAATAAAGGGTAAGTTTTTTAATAATTAGCAAAATTTTACCATTTTTATATAAAAAATTTACCCCAATGCGTCAAAATATTTTTACTGAAGAAAACAGCACTACCATTATAAGACTGCACCAAATTTAGTTTGCGATATGATTTAATTGTGCCAAATTAAAACAATGTGCCGCACTGATTAACACATTTTCCAAGCTTGCAACAAAAAATATTACTTGCGAAATTTAATGGTGTGTACAAGGTTAGCGATCATCTTGCTTTTTGAGGAAAGTACATTAAGTGCTTTGTTCTTTGACATAAGCAGCGTGAGATTTCCGATTTTTTTGCCTCTGAAATAGCTCTAAATTGCCCGGTTGTTACGCATTAGGTAAAAAAGTCGATATCTCGACTTAGTCAAGTTTGAATATTCAGCATAAGAAGAAATTCCGGGTCGATCAATAAATAAGTTGCCGAAAAGTTTGGGGCTTGAGGCAAAAGCGCAAAATTAAAAAAATGAGTACAAGAAATATGGGCATGCAAAATAAACGATAAATGCAGTGGAAGCGCCTGATGCAATTGACTTGACTTTTTTATCTGAGATCTCGAGTTGTATATATTCAAAAACTCCGTATGTCCAGCACAATAAAATACCCGGTTACCAGTAAAAGAAAAAGGAAAATCACATTGTCAATCCCCTGTGCCTTGCCTGGATATTAAACACTGACATTTAAATGTGAAGGTTTACTTATAAAATCTCGGTGCAGTTTTTTCAGCCCGCCGTGCGTCCGCTGAAGAATTCTCGGAATGATTTATAAACACAGCGAACATTATCAAAAACAAACAAGGACCATTCGAGTAAAACCTGGACACTCAACCAACATGGGTTATTGACATTTTATTGGTGATTTAACATGGTAGCTCGATGGAATTCTAATTGACAAAAGGCTAAGCAAAAAACATCTTTCATGATCTCTAACAACGCCAGTGGCTACATTTTACAACGCTTTATTTAGCATGCACTAATTCGAATCACGTCCCAAGAAGAAGCGATAAATGATTTTAAGCAAATAATGCCGAAGATGACCATGATCTAATATTGCTTACCGGTAGATGAAGCATCATTTAAAAATTAATTTGAAATATAATTAACAGAATATCGTTTTGAAACGCCAGCATAGCCTGGGGCCGATTCGATGCAACGCGTTACGAAATTTTAAGAAAACGTAATACATATACCTTGGAAAAAACAGTCACCTCTGATTAATCAGTTAAGGAATTTACCAACCTAATGGCCAGGTTACGGTTTAATAAAAAAACTAAATTTATTCATAATAAGTGATTTTTCGATCGAATAACGAGGCTCGAAAAATCTACTATTAACAAAGATGATCGTACCAGATTTTTTAACACTCCATGCAAGTTTGGTGGTGCCTACGCAAGTTCTGAAAACGATTGCAAAATTTAATTCTCTATTGCTACCTCTATCTCTACCTCTGTTTGATTTGAATTGATTCCTACATGAGCGAGATAAAAGCTTCAACCATGACACCTAGATTATATCTGTATGATTCAGATTTGATGATTAAAATATCAGATATTGACCTTTAGAAGATTGCACTTTTGACATTGCCCAAAAAACCCGATATTTATGACTGATGACCCCGATCCCATCCGAAACCTTGTACAAATAAATATCTAAGAAATACTGAAAATGAAACATTGAATTAATTCAATTGATCATCCATCCGGCTCAGATAAACAGTGGCTAAATCAACAATTGCACAACTTCAAGGACCTATTTCGATACACTTTCGAAAGAATCGTCACCTGAAATTGTCAGCTGCACAAAATAAATGAAACGTGTGCAAGTAAGTGCTAAATTCAATTTTGCAATCGATTATTTTTGAAAAAAATTGACGAAATGTTAACAAATACTTTTAGTAAAAATAATAATTGAACAACGTTTTGCCAACCACAAACAGTCGTGGATCTGTCGGGTTGGTCTTTAGGAAACGTGAATACATGCGACAAAAAATCATTGCCGCACAAAAATTAAAGCGTGTCTGCTCGTTTTCAGCAACATGTTGTCTCCTTTATTGTTAGACTCATTGGCCTAGTAATGAAGAGGCATTTTGCTAGAATATTTACATAACATTGAGGGCATGCTTTCAAGACATCTACACAAATTCACCAATTATTTTCAATTGTTGTTATCCAACAATATTTAAATGTATCTGTAAGTTAAAGTGAAAGGCTAATAGAACTATCGACAATTTAATAAACTTGAATACTTATTAATACATTTGGGATTGCTGATAAAAATGTGACCTGAAACACGAATTGGAAAGCAGTAGCATTGACAGTAACCTTATTTAAAACACATAGACCAATTTTATTATGATTAGTATTCAGCGGTAATACGTTAATATGTAGATACCCATTTAGAGGTTCGTACTATACGTGGATCTTATTGCATTAGAACTGTTTGGAAACATCGATGTGACAAAACAAATGTAAAGTTTGATGATTCACACCATCGTTTTGTGAGCTTGACTTAGTCAATTAATTTTATTCACCAGGCTCATATGCCAACGTACTTTTCGTTTGGGTAAAAATTGAAAAATACTTTAGGCTGATTAAGTTTGATCAGCTTCAGCGAACTTTGCCTCAGAACTGTTGAATTATTCAAAAAGCTCGCATGAAGGAGAAATAAATGAAAATAGCTGCTTGATAAACCCGTATTTATTGAAGCAGACGATCCCAATAGCAAATTAATTATGTTAGTAGATACAGTATAAAAGTACCTACGAGCAATTTTTAGAAATCGAAGCAAAAAAGACGTACAATTCTATTTCAACTAAAGTAATTGAAAGCACAAGTGTTTACATACATTAAAACAGCCATATGTTGTGTGTTCTAAATCTAATCCAAAGCAAGTCCACCTTATTCTGAGCCATAAAAGGAAAGCGATGATATTTGCAGTGATAATCTATTTTCCAAATACGAGTATACATCAAAGATAATCGGTGTTGCTTGCTATAATTAAGCATTTATTAAGTAATTATTGAGAAATTCTAGGTCAAATAATGAAAACAGCTTTATCCTGTTACCTGCAGATAGTACTGTTATAATTTTAGCATGCATAAATGCTGTTCCAAATAATAGCATTATTTCTCCAATTATCTAGCTTTCAAGACACGCAACTCGAATGCCGTATTTAGGGAAAACTATTAGAACGTTTCATATACAGGATGGTTAAACTAACATAGATGAAGCGTAATAAACTCTCACTAGTATTAAAAGTCGTGCAAGACGGTCTGATTTGTTGAACGATAAATGAAGTCATAGCTTGTAAATTTTGAATGAAGATAAAGCAGAAAACAAGAAGCAAAAGAATTTAACAGTGCACAGCGGGTAGGCCTTTATGAATCCTTGGGTTTTTTCTTTGCCATATTTATGTTATATGTTCCAGTCATAATGGCAATATTGCTTCTTGGCATATCAGGATGTAACCAGGAATTATCGTTGTTTTTCACCTAGATCTTGATATTTTATGACTTTTAAAAATTTTTTAATGTCCCTTTATAATCAACGATATGTATACAGGGTGATTTATGTAGACCTCTGCAATAGAAGTTTTTCAACTTACAGATGTTGTAGAAACAAATTTTGGCATTGGAAAAAAATGGCATTACATATGAGTTAAAATCAAATCCTGGGTTCTTCAGTCATTTATTGTCTATTTATCAATTAAAAAAACGTTTCGGTGTTTTCCACCATCATCAGTTTCAATGTGTAGCGTTGTTGCTACTTTACGCCTTGGCATGTATTTGGAGTATTCATTTTTCTATAAAAATTAATATATAATTGAAACACAGTCAGGAAAGTACGTACAATTACATATGAGTACGGACCAAGCCATATGAAATTAACGGTTTAAAATTCAAATCCCAAATTTTGGTGTGTAGCTAGCTGAAAGCTCCAGCTAACTCTCCATATGACTTTAAGGTATCAATTTTGTAGGATATGGGTCCATGCAGCCTACAAACATTGACATAAAAAATTGTAAAAAATCAGTTTTTTTAAATTGCTCCTACTTACTTTTTTGGTCCTGTTTAGTTTAGTTTTTTATTGTTTAATCATGGCAACATTTTTAAACAGGACCAAAAAAGTTTGTAGGCGCCATTTAAAAAAAACTGATTTTTCCACTGTTTGGATATCAATGTTTGTACGCTGCATGCACCCATAGGCTCAAAAATGGACACCTTAAAGCCATATGGGGAGTTAGCTGGGGCTTTCCGCTAGCTACATACCAAATTTGGGCTTTGAATTTAAAACCGTTAATTTGATATGGCATGGTCCGTAACCACATGTAATGCCATTTTTTGATTGCCAAAATTTGAAGTTTCTACAACAACTACGGTCTACGTAAATCACTCTGTATATAATATATGTATGCATACATATATAATACATTTAGGCTAAGGTTGTCGTATTATGAAAAGCCACAAAAAGATTAACAGCTTGAAACTCAATCAGTAAGCAACATTATAAGATTAAATCGAAAACTAGGAAGATTATTGATTACATAATACACTTCAACGATTATAACTTAACATAATCTGGTGTAATGGCATTCACTATTAATGTGTATTCAGATCTCCATCAACGACCATCACCAGGAGAAATTTTATTTGAAGAAATGCTTAGCAAGTTACTATTGAAGATTGGCGAATTGCTTAAGCTTTGACTTGAAATCGAGAGGTCTAACAATTGGTCGTTAAAAGTTCGACGGATTTGGCACACTACACATCATTCGAATAGTATCATTAATTCGCTTTCTTCAGGGGTTCTGTAGAAAGACATAAATAAATTGCCTAAAAATAGTTAATTGTGTAATGTATACCCTTTTCACCCAATCCATTATATCATGCATCAGATGAGCAAAAAAATCGTGAAGTATCAACTAAAGTTAGTTATTGTTCCTCTTGTTGAGATATTAAGTCTTCACACAAAAGTGATGTTGCAGA